AGAAATGCAGATTTACTGTTTGTAGCAAATTAGGTACTGGAACTATTTTCTTTGGAGCCTTTTTTGATGTATGCTGGGGAAATATATAAATATCAGACCAAACCCTGGGAAGATATTTAATCTTGGTTTGGAACTTTTTACTTTATGAGGTATTTAGGACATTGAGCATTGGCAGCTCCTTCGAACAGGCCCCATGTGCTCTCCATTCTGCCCCAGTGTTTACTAGCACACATGGTGAATATGTTGGAGGTTCCAGCTGGTTTAGGCCTGGTTTTGTCCCATTAAGTCCTAGTAAGAGTTTGTACAGAGCGTTGAATGGAAGCAAAAGTAGAAAAAAAAGCAATCTTTAGTGTTACAGCACATTTTTGATAACAGTATATGACTTTTTTCATAATTTATTCACTTTACTTTCTGATCACATATGTCTATAGTGAAACAATTGAATAAAATAAATGAGTCCAATAAAATTCCAGTTGCTTTGCTGATTTTAACCCAAGTAATTATTAACATCACTATAAATGGTTGTTGTACTCTATGATTAAAGCTGGGGTACCTAACTCTCAGACCACAAAAATATAAAACTAATCACTAATAATCAAATCCATCCCTTGGCGCTAAAACATATCTCCTGTGCCCACATGCATGTATTTAATATAACTTTACATCCACTTTTTCAGACAGAAAAGAGATAAAAGAGGACTCACTCCCAGTAAATCAGCCCAAAGAGTCAAATAGTGAATCCCAGGGCTCCTCTTCTAAATATGCAATACATATCATATTTTCTCATTGTTGAATTTGTATTCTTCTTTGTCATGTGTTGGTCATGAGTTTGTTGTGATTATCTCAAAGTTGACTGGATGCAACAATATGTGAGGACCAATGGCTCTGTTTTTTTATTGTGCTTTAACTGTTTGATTCTCTGATCTGTGTTGGCGAATTCAACGGTTTTGTTAAGTCCTCCCGGAAAACTACTGTTGTGATTTAGGGCAATACAAGAATACATTGAATCGAATTAAGTTGAATGGCAAAACGCTTTGAAAAGTTTTGCATTCTGGTCACACCCCCATCCTCCTCATACACAAACTTTCCGTTCCAGAAAAAAGTTTCATCCTGGATCTTTGTACTTTATGAGGTATGTAAGACATTGAACACTGCAGCACATTCAAACAGGCCTCCATGTGCTCTCCATTCAGCTCCAGTCTTTACTAGCACAGGGTGGATTTAGTGGAGGTGCCCGCTGGTGCAGTCTGGCTCATATTACAGCTCTCTCTCCTCTTTCTCTCTCTCTCTCTTTCTGCGGCTAAACCTCTCATTCCTCCAAATACCACATCAGAGAGCGTTGGCTTCCCTGCTAAACAGACGCTCTGCCACTCCGCCTCCCACCAGCCAACGGGAGGGAAGACCACCGGTGCTATTATGTGTACGCTCAAAGGAATCCAACTCCAGGGATGTGGCTGGTGCTATCACAGTGTTTATGGACGCACGCAGAGAGGATGTGAAGGGTTCTCAAGCTGTGGTGTGTCCATAACTGTTGGTACTGAGTTATACAGCAGATAATATGAAGGGTTTGCAAACTGGGGTGGGTCTATGCCTGTTGATGCTTTGCTAAACTGCAGATAATAACGCAGGAATGCATAGGTACAATCGTCATACACTTTCGTATTCGTTGACTTCATTCTTGTTCTTAAGTTTGGCTCGGATCTGGTTCGGTTCATATGTTCTTCAAGATCAAGTTTTGTAATAAGTTCATTAGTATAAGTTGAAGTTGAGGTATTTGATTTTTGAACAGAAACCCTATACATAGCTCCCAAAAAGTCTTTCACACATCCCTATTTAGCAATCAAGCTTTCATCCCAAGCCATAGTATTGGCAGTTTTCATCATTTGCCATTCAATTTAAGAGATAAAGGTATATTTTGTTGTAAATTTCTCCGTTGTGAGATCGATCAAGTTTATCTCATCTTATCTTGCCTAGTCCCTGTTAAAATATTGCTTATACTTGAAATAGTCTGGAGTTTCTCTGGAGATCTATAAGGCATCATGGTATAACTAAACTTTATAATCATTTCTAGACAAGATTTAAAGTTGCCACAAACAGCATAAACAATCTATAACATGCTCAACATTCTAATTGTCCAAATGAATGAATGAAACCTGTTTTAGTCCCACAGTTGACGAAATCACACATTATTTCCAGACTCTCTGCTTATGTTTACCTTCATATATCTTTGGCCAGTATCCAATCATGCACGGTGCACTTACTTCCATTTAGTTCCCATTAGCCCCTGACTTTCTAATGAGTTTCCAAAACCTGGACTATTTCAGCCTGATGGCCGTGTGTAGATGCGATGAAGAAACGTGTGTAAACAAGCAGCGGCGTGGGGCTGGATTTGGCCTGTGGTTTTGTTTTCGAGGCGGATTTAAAAAGTTATGAGCTTCTAGCGAGCTAAATCTGGTGTTTGTGTGTGTGGCTTTTATAGCTGTGTGTGTGTGTGTGTGTGTGTGTGTATGTGTGTGTGTGTGTATGACTGGGCTCTTTCCCTCCTTCAGACGCTTCTGCTGCACATGGCCTGTGTTAGACTGCCCCCCTGTGGCCACTGGAGAATCGCATGCGTGTTCCCTAGTCTGCACATTTGTCAAGACTTTTTTGACATTTTATACAGTATGTGAATTTCCTGTGCTTGATATGTATCTCCTCTGGTTATGAAAAAGGCCCATTGTGTCCTGGAATGTATTGTAGATAAACGTAAACATTATTGAGACAGGAAGAAGGAGAGAGACAGAGGTTATAACTTATATCGACTGGGGCATCAATATCATGGGATGGCTCAATCACAGAAAGATGAATCCCTGTCTTTGTGAATTTGTGGAAAAACGTGTGTGAGAACCACGTGGAAACAACTGCATGACAACCCCAGACTCTTGTTACTGCATCTGGAATATCAAAAAAGAAACACAGTTTACACCAGAACATGTGACTGATTATAATGTTCGGCTAAAATCACATAAAGTAAGTCATTCGTTGAGCGACTCTTGCTAAATGCAAAAAGATGCCATGATTTCTAAAATAATAACTCACACTGATTTTGTTGATTTGTTTGTGAGCGTGGTCTGTCACTTTCACAAGACTATTTCTGTTGGGACAAAGACAATGCAGTATTTCTGTTTTTTTAGGTACCTCAGCTTTAACTCACATTGCTTGCTTTTCTTCTGTTAAGTTTCTTCTCGCCCGTGTTGTGATGGAAGTGGATGTAGATTGTTGCTTAAATGTTGCTAAGTAGACACATCAACAGACAATAACACATGCCTTGTTGAAAGTTTAGCTTGTGTGTAGAGTAATGCGGTAATATCTCATGTGCCTTTCTCTCCCATGTACACAAGCGTCTCAGTCGAGCTATCTCTGGAGTTTGCGGCGGCGAAGAGGAGCTGGTCTTGAGTGAATCCAGCAGATGTGGAGGTGATAATGACACTATAAGTCCTCTTGTCCTTGGCTGGAGGAGCGTTCCCAGGCGTTCGACGCACACTCAGCGAAAACGAGGAGATCAACAAGGAGCGGCCTCATACAGTACGGATGTGTGCGCTGAGAGATGGAAGGATCATGGCGGACTTAACCAGGCCCATGTGTGCTTGAAAAGATGCTCACTGTGAAAAAAAAAGGAAAATGGATTCAATTGTCTGTATGTGTCTATTGTCTTTATGTCAACTCATTTTTGGAGAAGTTTTCGTTTTGCTCTGCTGTTTGACGTGGTGATGGTAAAGAAGAAATAATATGCATCAAATTTGGCCGATAAATGATGAAGGAGACAATTTACTTTTGTCATCCATTGAGGGGAAATGTCAATATTGCTGCACACATATAAGTAAGTAAGTACACGCAGGACACACAAAATATACAGTATAAGTAGTTGCTATGTGTCTTAGCTAGCTGTATACTGTATGCTTCAATATCAAGATATCTCCATCTATCTATATATGTAAATACAATATATCCAGACTGTCATTGTCAATAAATAACTAAAGTAAAGGTGAAAAAGTATATCGTCAAACAGGTGAAAAATACCTTTATGCCTGTGATCAATCAATCTGTATTTACGTTGTATTTATAAAGCACTTTTCATACAAACAAATGCAACACAAAGTACTTTACATGTTCTGCTCATGACCCATGTGACGGAGCGGGTCCGTCTGTAGTTACGTAGTTTTAAAGTAAAGGCTGACTTTAGTGCCGCATGCGCCACACGCGCACCTGCACGCACACACACACGCCATTCCAAACGCGCGCACCCCTTTTTCCCTCCGTTCCATTAATGCTTAACAGCCACACGCATCATCCATACTCTTGTCCCTCTCTTCCCTCAGTTACTAGTTCGCCCAGGGGTGCACACTGTGCGGGCTAGAAATACATTTAAGCATACATTCATACACGTACCGGTCTGTCGTGCTCCTCTGCATCTGTGCGCGAGGATCAAACCAGGACCATACTTCCTGGCGGGTTAAATGTGCCCTGGGAGCGTGGGGAATTGTCCCCAAGATTAAATATACTTATAATGGCCTAATGTTTCATTGTAGAGTATAGGTTTTTGTGTTGGACCAATAGGGAATGGGTCCATATATGTATTCCCTGTTTATACGTCCTATTTGTAATAATTTATTTTGCTCAATGGGAGGAGCAAAGGGGACTATAAAGGAGAGCCGTGTCTGGCACCCGTCAGTCTGCCGCTGGTTACAGAGGAGGTAACTACCTGGAGCCATTAAAGGTGACCTATGTGTCCGAGTGGACCTGTTGTTTTTTTCTGCTAAATTCACTGTACATATGCTCTGCACTGCCTGTACCAATTTTTACGCACTTTGGGGAAAATAAAAGCACAAATAATCACTGCAATCCGAGCTCGCCTGTATTTTTTTTAAAGTAACCCACGACAGATGGTGTCAGAAGTGGGATGGCAAGCCGGAAGAAAAGTGTTCGTTTACCCAAGCGCACAGGTTTGCGGTCTCAGAGCCATGTGCAACAGCCAGGGGGCGCTGGAGCAGCATGGGAAACCGAGGATGAGGAAGAGAAAACCGGAAGTCAAACCCGGGCCATTCTCGGAGCCTGGACAGGATATGGTGATGTTAATGAGGGAGTTTCTGGCTGGACAGCAACGCCGGGAAGAAGGGTTGCTGGTAGAACTCCGGAGGCTGGGGAATGCTCAGTCTAACCCTCCGTCTTCTCCACCGCCTTTGTCCAGAGATCGGCCGGTTCCACACTTTCCCGTTTCACGTGCCCAGTCTCAGGCATCATTGTCACTGTCCGACAGGAGCCCAATGATTGGATTACCGACCCCTGCTGGCCAGCGAATGCAGTACGCAGGGATTCATCAGGGAGGTGATGAGAGTGATGAGGGTGAGGAGCAAAGGCACCAAGCTCTAAACCCTGAAAACCGACCCAGACGTGACTGGAGGCATTATAATGAGCCAAAGATACCACAATACCAGAGTGGTGAGGACATGGAGAACTATCTGTTGCGTTTTGAACGGATAGCAAAAACCTGGAAATGGCCAGAAGATGAATGGGCGTGTCGACTCGTTCCTCTGTTAAGCGGCAAGGCGCTGGAGGCGTACTCTGCCATGGACGAGGAGAGAGCCCACTGCTACCGGGACTTAAAGGAGGCCCTGTTGGCAAAATTTGATATTTCACCCGAGACCTACCGCCAGCAGTTTCGCTCCTCTACTCTACCATCTGGAGAGAGCCCCACGGAGACCTATCATCGTCTCAGAGGTCTCTATCGTCGCTGGATACGGCCCGAGGAGCGGACCAAGGAGGAGGTCGGCGAGGCAATCATCATGGAGCAGCTGCTGCGAGTTTTCCCCTTCGAGGTGCGGACCTGGGTGAAGGAGCGCGAGCCCGGCGATGGACTCACCGCTGCAAAGTTGGCCGTGCAGTACCTCAACGCGCGCAAAGGAGGACCTGCCCGGACCGGCACTACAGCTCAGCGTGGGCCAGCTCAGCCGCTTCTCTCCAGACCACCCCGGCAGGACAGCTACCCAGATCGGCAAGGTACCACCAGCTCTACCCCAAACCAACGAGGACCTGGTAAGGATCTTGTTTGTTTTTACTGTCAGCAGCCAGGACACAAAGCATCCGTGTGCCCTGTGCGCAAAGCAAAATTTAGTGGGGCATGTTATCCACCAAGACCAGAGTCCGTGAGCTCTATGGAAGCTGAAGGTACTGTGCAACGTTATAAAACTGTACTGATCAATGGCAAAGCGATTACAGCATTGCTTGATACTGGCAGCTTTATGTCGTTGATCAAACGTAGCTCAGTTCCAGTTAGCGGCACGGATTACAGCCAGACTGTGGATATTCAGTGCGTGCATGGGGATAGCCATCCCTATCCTACTGTGGATGTGACTGTGACTGCCTTAGACCAGCCCTATCTTGTGAGTGTGGGTGTGGTTGAAAACTTACCAGTGGATGCTATTCTCGGTTGGGATTTACCAGTTCTCATGGACCTGTTGAACGAAAAAGTGTCTGAGGAAAGTGACTCTGGGGGGAATAGTAACTGTTCTATGTCTATGGCATGTCCTGTTTTAACCCGAGCTCAGGCAAAAACGGGTGTCCAGCCTCTGCCGGACTTGGACAGTAGTCTGTGTGAGGGGGGCACCAAGGGGCCCAAGAAGTCCCGCCGTCAGAGGCGGTTTGAGAAACAAATGTGGTCTGCTAGTCCTGAAGATGTTTTACCTTTGTGTTGGAATGTGCCTGACAATGTTGGTGAGTTACAGCGTAAAGATGAAACATTGAAATGTTTGTTTGCTAAGGTGGGCAAGGATACAAAGAGTTGTCTGGGACGGGAGAGGTTTGTCATTGACAATGGGTTGCTATACAGTGAGGGTAATGAATGTAAACGTCTGGTTGTTCCCCTTAGCTGCAGAACTCTTGTCATGCGCGTAGCACACACTGTTCCATGGGCGGGTCATTTGGGGCGCCACAAGACATTTTTGCGCATTAGCTCACGTTTTTTCTGGCCTTCAATGTATGCAGACATCCAAACGTACTGCGCGACCTGTCCTAGTTGTCAGAAAACATGTTCTGTGCGCAAATCTGACCGTGCTTGTTTACAGCCTCTACCGGTAGTGTCTACTCCTTTCCGGAGGATCGCAATGGACATTGTGGGGCCACTGGTGAAGAGCAGCAGCGGCCACCAGTACATCCTAGTCATATCGGACTATGCGACCAGGTTTCCTGAGGCCTTCCCGCTCAGAACCATCACTGCCCCGGCTGTTCTTCGAGCTCTCGTCCAGCTATTCTCAAGAGTTGGATTACCGGATGAGATTCTTACGGATCAAGGCACCAACTTCACGTCCCGGTTGATGCACCTTTTCCAGCAGCAATTGGGGATCAAACCTATTCGTACCACCCCATACCACCCACAAACAGATGGACTAGTGGAGAGGTTTAATCAGACACTCAAACGCATGCTACAAAAGTTTGTGGATGACACCGGTAGAGACTGGGATCGGTGGCTTCCGTTTGTTTTGTTTGCTTATCGGGAAGTCCCACAAGCGTCAACTGGATTTTCCCCATTCGAACTGCTGTATGGCTGGGATGTTCAGGGGCCATTGGACCTTCTCCGCAAACAATGGGAGGGTCCCTCAGCCAAACAAAATGACCGCAGCATCGTGCAGTTCGTCTTAGAGATGCGAGAGAGACTGTCAAAGTATTTGGAGGAAGCGGAGGAAAACCTGCGAGACGCTCAAAAGTCCCAGAAAGCCTGGTATGACCGCCAAGCGCGCCGTCGGGAGTTCCAGCCAGGTCAAAAGGTATTACTCCTTCTACCCTCATCCACCAATAAGCTGCTCACAAAATGGCAGGGGCCGTATGCTGTGCTGCGCAAGATGGGTCCAGTCACATACGAAGTCCTACACCCCGAAAAGAAAAGGCCCAAACAGACCTACCACGTTAACCTCCTAAAGGAGTGGAGGGAACGGCCTGAGAAAGCAACGGCAAAGGTTCTGTTTGTCAGACAGCTGGAGGAAGCGGACGAGGAAGATGATGTTCCGGATGTCGGACTAGAGGGATTAACAAAAGCTGCAACCCCGATCCTGGCTCATCTCTCTCCTGAGCAAGCTGCCCAGCTGTTCCAGACCTTCAAGGAAGTCTCGTCCCTCTTCAGTGCCACTCCCGGCAAGACCACCATTGTGGAGCACCTCGTTCGGCTGAAAGACGGGAGACCCATCCGACAGCGGCCCTACCGTGTGCCTCAGCAGCTCATCGGAAAGCTCCAGGATGAGATCCAGGAGATGCTGAAACTTGGAGTGATCGAACCCTCCAACTCAGAGTGGAGTAGCCCTGTGGTCATTGTTTTTAAAAAGGATGGATCGCTCCGGATATGTATTGATTTTCGGAAACTGAACTCTGTTTCAGAATTTGACGCATATCCAATGCCAAGAATTGATGACTTGCTGGAGAAGATTGGGGCAGCTAAGTACATCACCACTTTGGATCTATGCAAAGGATATTGGCAGGTGCCCCTCGAGAAGTCATCACGGCCCTGCACCGCATTCCAAACCCCTGCTGGACTGTTTCAGTTTACGGTGATGCCGTTTGGACTGCATGGAGCCCCAGCCACGTTCCAACGTCTGATGGACCGGGTTCTTCAAGGGTGTGGGCATTGCAGCGCGGCCTACCTCGATGATGTGGTTATCTTCAGTGAGACCTGGAGTGACCATGTTCAGCACCTTTCCCTCGTCCTGAAGAAGATTGAGCAAGCTGGGCTGACACTAAATCCAGCTAAATGTGAGTGGGCTCGGCAGGAGACTCGGTATCTTGGCTACCAGATGGGTCGAGGAGAAGTACGGCCCCAAGTGGACAAGGTCAAAGCGGTCCTGCAGTCTCCTAGGCCACGCACCAAGAAGGAAGTCCGGTCCTTCCTTGGGTTGGCAGGATGGTACAGGAGGTTTGTGCCACAATTCGCAACCATCGCTGCTCCCCTCACCGCACTCACGGCCAAGAACCAGCGAAATCCAGTAGTCTGGACGAGGACTGTGAGAAGGCTTTTGCCACCCTTAAAGCTCACCTGTGTTCGTCTCCTGTGCTGAAAAGTCCAGACTTTAACATGCGCTTTCTCGTCCAAGTGGATGCCTCCGCTGTGGGCCTTGGAGCAGTTCTGGCTCAAGGGGAGCCGGGAGAAGAGAGGCCAATACTCTACTTGAGTCGGAAACTCCAGCCACGAGAGACACGCTACTCTGCAATCGAAAAAGAGGGTCTGGCCATCAAATGGGCGTTGGAGAGTTTACGCTACTATTTGCTGGGGCGAGAGTTCGATCTAGAAACCGACCACCGTGCCTTAACATACATCCAAACCATGAAGGATCACAACAGCCGTTTGACCAGGTGGTACCTTGGTCTACAGCCCTTCCGGTTCTCCATTCGACACCGTGCCGGTAAGCTGAACATTGTTGCGGACTACTTGTCCAGGTTGCCCCACAGTGTCGACCTTCCGGAGGGGAGGGATGATGTGACGGAGCGGGTCCGTCTGTAGTTACGTAGTTTTAAAGTAAAGGCTGACTTTAGTGCCGCATGCGCCACACGCGCACCTGCACGCACACACACACGCCATTCCAAACGCGCGCACCCCTTTTTCCCTCCGTTCCATTAATGCTTAACAGCCACACGCATCATCCATACTCTTGTCCCTCTCTTCCCTCAGTTACTAGTTCGCCCAGGGGTGCACACTGTGCGGGCTAGAAATACATTTAAGCATACATTCATACACGTACCGGTCTGTCGTGCTCCTCTGCATCTGTGCGCGAGGATCAAACCAGGACCATACTTCCTGGCGGGTTAAATGTGCCCTGGGAGCGTGGGGAATTGTCCCCAAGATTAAATATACTTATAATGGCCTAATGTTTCATTGTAGAGTATAGGTTTTTGTGTTGGACCAATAGGGAATGGGTCCATATATGTATTCCCTGTTTATACGTCCTATTTGTAATAATTTATTTTGCTCAATGGGAGGAGCAAAGGGGACTATAAAGGAGAGCCGTGTCTGGCACCCGTCAGTCTGCCGCTGGTTACAGAGGAGGTAACTACCTGGAGCCATTAAAGGTGACCTATGTGTCCGAGTGGACCTGTTGTTTTTTTCTGCTAAATTCACTGTACATATGCTCTGCACTGCCTGTACCAATTTTTACGCACTTTGGGGAAAATAAAAGCACAAATAATCACTGCAATCCGAGCTCGCCTGTATTTTTTTTAAAGTAACCCACGACAACCCATCATCCCGACCACCCAACGACCACCCAACAGATGCTACCATCAGAAGGAGGAGTGGAACTGGTTTTGTTTTTTACCAAATTCGGAAATTACCGGCTTCAGACACAGCCCTGCGATTGCAAAGATTGTCATTTCACTTGAGAAATACTTTAGTTTTAAGTTTTAAAAGGTGGAAACTGCTCTTAGTGTGATGTCATAGTTTTAGACAGAAGTTGTGCATATTAAAGTAGATGGATCTTGGATAACTGATGTTGCATTATATGTGCCCTTTAAGCCATGTGTGTCTGATATCACCCCACCAAAAGAAAAGAAAAATATGTTTTGGATGGAGCGTACCACCCGCTGGGCTTCGTTTTCTCTCCAACACAACACAAAGGAGGGCTGTATACCTGATCTAAATCCGTCCAAATATTTGTAGCTCTCACAAACTGTTTGGCACAGAGCATTTTCTGGATGGAGCTTTAGAAAAACCTTTGTATTCAGAAATGTTAGTGACCACCGCTCATGCACACTTTGAAATAGCCATAGCCCCTGATATCATAAAATGACAAAAGCTTGAGTTTAGAGTTTTTCCTTGCCGATGCAGGAGGGTCTGTTGGACAGGACGCTCAACATTCAACAACATTTATGGACATTAATGGACATTGGTCAAGTCCCCGCTTTGGGCCAACGCCTATGTGTTCTTTATAATCTATCAATGAGAAAACAGTGGGTTTGATACTTCAACCAGCAAAGATCCCAGACATTTACATACTGTATATTGTAATAACTGTCTTATTGGCTACACTTGACTTGGTGGAAAGACTTTCTCAGAAGACAATTGAAGTCAGATGGATGGCCTGTTTTACTGTCCAGTGCATTGAACACCATCAAATATGAGAATAGACAATTCCAGTTCAGTCTGTAAAAAAAAAAAAAAATCTCTGACTTTCTCTCAATGCTGTGGCTGTAAGTGAAATGACACCTGTTTCTAATGCCCTGATCCACTCACACTGCCTTGCTCTACGCTGCATCGTTTGCATCGGGAGCATCTTGAAACGGTGAAGTCAAATCAAACCTGGAATAAACATTACAGTGGAGTTGTCAAACAGAAACTAGACAGACACAGGCAGATCAGAAAAGTTCGAGTATAAGAGTCTGGGGAAACGGACGCATGTGTGTCAAGCAAAAATGTAGGAGAGAGATATCTGAGGTTTTCTTCAGAGTTCTTCAAAAGTTACATTAGATAAAACACACATAGACTGACACTTTTCCGGCATCTGTTTTGCTTTGCCATGTCCCAACGCCAGCAGAATGAAGCCAGGCCATGACACAGGTCAGCTCTATGGACAGTACGCATTAAATCATCTTTTGTATGTGTTTTTACAGTGTGTTTTAAATTTGGTTTTACATGTTACCAATGGGATTCACTTTGGGTTGCATTCTGTATGAACTGTGCTGGATAAACAAAAGTTGATTGATTGATACTCTCAGTAGATTTTAATTTTTATGCTTTATTTTTTGATACATTTTTAGAACCAAGATAATACACGGTTTGTATGCATATATATATTACTGTATTTGTATGTGTTTTTTTGTTTTGTTTACTTTTTT